TAAGTCTGAAACCAGGGACTAGCCATGGCTGTTTGTTTAGCCTATACTTTTTTGATAGCCAATAACAATCTCTTTATTGGTATAGTTTTTCATTTGGCTGAGTGCTCACTGGAGTGGCCTACAGATCAGAACTTCCTTTGAAAAAAGGGGAAAGCTCTGCTTTTAAGCCAGTAACTGAAAAGTGGAGAAAGGGAAACAAAATTGCCTGTATTAGGGACAACTTGTTCTGTTTTTCAGGTACTTTTCTTTGCTATCCAGTCACGTGAAGAAGACATCTAGCTTCTCCTATATGACCATGAACTTTTTTCTCTCCCTTTACAGACTCTGAGATCAAAAGGCGGAGTCACCTACAGCTACTGAACTCAAAGGCTACCCTGTGTGCCTCTTCTTTCTTTGCCATCAGCTGGGTACTCCTACCACTCTCCCCTTACCTGATGCTAAAATAATGTGCCTTGGCCACACATGAACATGCAAAGTCATTGGTAGAACAGGTGAGATGAATCACAAATAGTGTGGGAGATTGTTTCTGTGTGTGCCTGTGTTCCTAACAAGAGTCAAGTAGCCCTCAGACGTAGAGAGAAACATTTAATGATGCCAGAGCAATGACAGTATTTCCACTAGTATTGTGAAAGGTAATCGTTTGTTAGTTTAACAAAGAGCATACACTTCATTGACAGTTTTATAGGAAATACACCTCCATACAATGAAAATATTTGTGTAATTCAAATACCTTTTTATTTACTGTCATCAATGAAGGCAAAAATATCTTACTGAAGAGAAAGAGGTGTTTAGTCCTGACTAGTTACCATGGATTTTACTGTTATTTATAAGGCATAATGATATGCACAAAACCACTCCCCTCAGTGACCTCTCCCCCACCTCTCCAACAAGGTCCTGTTGACAGGAGAGTTGGCAGATGACTCACCAACTAGCCCTCCTGCTGAGACTTTTCACTGTCACTTCAGTCCTCTGGCTCCAATTATTATTAGGATATTTCCTTCTGAATATTCTTCTGCATATGAAATTTGTATAAAACCGAGTTCATGAAGTTCCCATCCACGCTCGCATGTTACTCAGCGGCATCCCCACCAAGCCTCTACGCTAACAACCTTAGACTGTCTGTGTCTCTCCTCTGTCGTTCACGTCAATTTGTCACCAAGCCCTACAGTATTTTCCCCAGTGTTGTCTCTCAGACTGACCCTAATCCAGCTTTCATCACCTCACAACCAGGCCGGTTCTAAAACCTTGTACTTGTTTCTTCCTCTCCCTGCTTCAGGTGATAAGAAACAAGGTGCCAGAATAAAAGCATTCAAACGCTGCATCACAGCATTCCTTTGCTCTGGGACTTAAAGTGACTCTGTAGATACTATCGTATCAAAGTTATAGTCCTCAGCTGTGCAGTCACAGCCCTCTAACAGTTCGTCTGTCTAAGCTTCCTCCTTTTCAACTATGTACCACCACTCTCTGGCCCTGCTTCCATTCTCACCGCCCCTTCCTGAAAATCTCCCCTTCTCTGTGACAATGTATATCCACTACTTCCTTTATCCATTTCAGGAAAGTGCTTCCTAGCTTATAGCTCCTTTTCCTGAGGGTCCTTGTATTTCACATCCCCTTGGCGTGCATGTATAATTTATATCTTATACTGTCTAAGACACATGTATTCCTTGTCTAGATTGTTAATTTCTCAAGGGCAGGCAAAGATCTGTTGATCTGCTTCTTTTTGTTCTTGCTCTTGTTCTATGAGCTCTTACTACAGGGCAATGCTCAAAGTAGATTTTTTTTTTTTTTTCTCCTTTTTTGTCTTTTTTCGTGACCGGCAACGGATCACAACCCTCAGTGTCGCACCCGTAC